TCAGAAACTGGTTTAAACCTGTAACAGAACAGAAGCTCAGTGCACATAAAGCAGTTTCAAAATAGCTGAAACTGTTTAAGATAAACCTGGTTGAATGTATCAGACTGAACTGATTTGGATCAAACCAGTTTATGAAACTTCAGTCCCGGACCTCAGAGGCTGAATAGAAGGCATCTTACACAAACATTAATGTACTAAAAATTCTTGTTAAGGAAAAAAATGAGAAACAATGCAACATCCTGATATAGTGACCTTGCTTTAGTGCTGAATAAATCTGGGAAAATATTTAATACCTCCAAGTTCTTTGCAAGGTGTCACCAAACTTTATCAAAGTCAGGACTGCAGTATGTGGCAGAAGCAAGCAAGCAAGCCTAAAAACAGTCAGCTAGGATGAAACAAAACAAGCAAACTGACAGTGAGCCATCTCCTCCAGAACAGGAAAAGACAAACACACCACAGGCTAAGAATGGTTATCAACTTTCCATAAGGGAGATGAGGTAAGAGGGAACCAGCTGCAACATAGCTATTTTAGAGTTGCAACTACATGCCTCTGCCAAATTTAAAGGGACAGCATCAAAAAGGCAGTCTGGGAAAAAAGTCCACACAAATAGCGAGTCTGCAGAGGGGACTCTGTAAGCAGAAATCAGCAAAGGAAGATGCTCCGGGGAAAAGATTTTGCCTGATATTGCTCTGTTCCACGCAAAAAAATAAGATAATGTTACACTTCTTTCATCTTCTTGTCTAAAATTCTTCTTGATTCTAGGTAAGTATTATATTTATATTTAACATTGATAACCCTGCAAAGAAGGTTAACAGCATACTGGGCTGCATTAGCAGGAGTGTTGCCAGCAGATCAAGGGAAATGATTATTCCCCTTTATTTGACACTGGTGAGGCCACATCTGGAGTACTGAGTCCAGTTTTGAGCACCCCACTAGAGAAAGGATGTGGACAAATTGGAGAGAGTCTAGTGGAGGGCAACAAAAATGGTTATGAGTCTCATGAATATGACTTCTGAGGACAGGCTGAGGAAACTGGGCTTATTTAGTCTGGAAAAGAGAAAACTGGGGGAGGGGGGGGATTTAATAACAGCCTCCAACTACCTGAAGAGGATGGCGCTAAACTATTCTCAGTGGCAGCAGGTGACAGAACAAGGAGCAACAGTCTCAAGTTGCAGCAAGGGAAGATTAAGTTATATATTAGGAAAAACATTTTCACTAGGAGGGTAGGGAAACATGGGAACAGGTGACCCAGAGAGGTGGT